TCTTTGTATCAACATTTATGTAGCATAACTTCCAATTAACATCCAATTTCCACGAATTCCAAAGGTAAAAAGGGAAATTCCTAATTTTTTTTTTTTTGGGGGTGTTTTATTTCATTTTGACTTTTTCATCAATTCATACATCTACAATGTATGTTTAGGAGATTATAATGTGTTCTAACTTCAAATTGCATAATTTATTTCAACAATTTTTAAGTTTGAAACTAAACACTCGAGAATTAAGGTTCTTCAAGTTTTTTTTTTTTTTTTTTTTTTTGGAATTTTCAAGATTTTGGAGTCATTTTTTATAAAGACTGGGATAGGATTTAGATACTGGATTGTCGAGTGGTCTGCATTGGTCAATTTTTTGCACTTTATGTTTCACATGTGCAAACGACGTGTTCGATGTTTGTGTCATAGACAGTTTTTATCAATTTCTCATATATAATTGTACAAACACATTGAGCACACACCTTTGAACACGGTTTGGTCCTTACGTTGCAAGTTTGGCAAATTTTACTTTAAATTTCATGTTAACACAATACCACACACGGTCGACCTCCATCCGCACAATGTCAACGGATCTTATCCAGACGTCAAGGAACCGCGTAACCCTTGTGTCAAGGCACCATGGCACCTATGTCCATGCATTGCAGGGACTTTGGCCATATCTCAATTCACATGGTTAGTCTCCTATGTCTACAGTTGTCTAACTTAGTTTTGCATTGTTTTGTGTGCACTAGACAATTTTTACATCATTTTACATGCATTAGATAGTATTTACATGTTTGTCTAGATTTAGGTGTATGTGGATTATTTTTTGTACCGTTTACCATATTTATGGCCTATTTACTTCGTTTCACATGCATTTATGCATATCATTAGTTAGTTGTTCATAGAGGTATATAGGATCTTTAGTTGCATCTACGGATGTGTTCGTATTGCAAACTTGTCACAGATGCCGCCTAAGAGTATAAGGACTACTTCACAAACATCCAATGTGTCAACTTCCTCTAGTAGGTCTAAATTTATCTCTTCTATTGCCCAGGATGTCTTTGGGACTTAATCTTTCTTGATCCTATCATGGCAGAGTATAAGGTAATTCTTTCTGATCTTTTCTTCAATCTTGCTGCCATCTTTACTACGTGTGGATAGGAGCCTTACTACTGAGTCATCTCTCCGCCTAGTCTCCTTATCCAAGAGTTATACGCAAATATTTGAGTGAATTACCCAAATGGTCACTGAACTTTATAAAAGGTTTTCACATAGTCACTAAACTTTAAAAATCATCCAATTCATCATTAAACTTTACAAAAAGTTTCCACGAGATCATTGAACTTTAAAAATCACCTAATTTATCTCTAAACTTTGTAAAAGATTTTCCAAGGGTCACTAAATTTAGTGACCCCTAGGAAACCTTATGCAAAGTTAAGTGACCCCATGGAAACCTTTTGCAAAGTTCAATGATGAATATGGTAATTTTTAAAATTCAGTGACCTCGTGAAAACCTTTTTGTAAAGTTCAGTGATGAATTATGTGATTTTTAAAGTTCAATGACCCCGTGAAAACTTTTTGCAAAGTTCAATGACCATCTGGATAATTCACTCCAAATATTCACCGTACTACTGGGTCAACATTTAGGGTTTTTCTTCGAGGTAAGACACTTAAGATCATTCCTGATGTCATATCTAGTATTATTCACATTCTCTGGGTTGTCCACCCATCATTCTCATATTTGTTTGTTGACATCCTCTCGGCAAACTCTCTTGTTCAATTAGCGTTATTTAACAACCCATTGGAAGGGGGTCCAACTTTGATTCGACTGAATTCCTATTGACTAATCGATATATTTTGTTGTACATTGTGTGCACAAATCTGTGACCAGATTTTCTATACATTGTCCTTGCCCATGATAAGGCCAGATTTCTTTATGCGCTTTTGCATGGCAACTCTATAGGTGTTCCTACACTTATGTGCCATCAAATTTACGTATCTTTCGTATGACTGGTACTAGGATAGGTCTTCTTTATGCTTGTTTGATTCATCGTCTTGTGACAATCCTTGGGGCTACTTTTCTTGACAAGACTATGGAGAGGGTTTCCCGTCCTATTGGTCATACTAATTTCACAAAGTAGGTCTCATGTTCTTTTATCTTCTACTCATTCTAAAGCAGTTGATCCAATTGTACCAGTCGATCCTCTTGGTGATCTACTTTCTGATGATCTCTCTAATATTCATCTATTTAGATCAGATATCCATCTCACCACTGACATTCCATCGTGTTTTACCTCTACTCTGCCACCACCTGTTGATCCTATTTCGCCATCTACTTTTATTTCCATAGACCCTTCTATAGCTCTCATGGGATAGATGTCTTTGATAATTGAACAGCATGCTCGTATGATGGCTGAGATTATATAGTTGAGAGCCACTACAGAGCATTACATAACAGAGTTTGCTATACTTCATGGAGTGATCACATGTGTTTGGTGAGGAGTCCGATAGATCTACTAGCATTGGGATGATGATGATGATGATGAGGCATCGGATGGTAATGATGTTACTGCTAATTAGATGTTCAGTATCCCCTTGTCATTTGTGACAAAAATGGGGGACATATAGCACGATGTTGATTTGATTTGAGGATATTTTTTGATACTCTTTGAGATGTATATAATATTATTTTCTAGTTAGGTAGATTATGTTTTGATATTTAGTAATATTAGTATTTGTTTTTGATGTATTAGTTTAAATTGACACTGCATCTTAATTTAGCTGCCATGATTTTGAGTTATTGATAACTGTCTTAGCTGCTTTTATTTCTTTTACTTTTTCATGTGCTTTTATACTTGTATTTGAGTTGTTATTTTGGGAAATAGGTTTGACAGAAGAAAAGAAAGCTTCGGCTAAGTAAGTTGGTTTTGGGTAGATTAGTTTGGTTATCTTTAATTTGTAATACATGTTTTGTCACGGAATGTCAAATGGGGGAGTTTGTTGGGTTTTATAGTTGGCAATCTTTAGACAAAAATATAGTTGTAAAAGAGTTTTAAAATGTCAAAGAGTCAATTGATAGGTTGTATAGATGAATTAGGAGTCCTTTGGATTGTCTATGGAACATAGGAAAAATTTGTCGAAAATATACTAACCTTGTGGCAAAGCTGTTGCTCGAGCGTCCAAAATAGTATCATTGTCTCTAACCTGTCGCCAGCCTATCGCTCGAGCGAAGAATTTGTCCCTCACCTATCGCTGGGCTCTTGAACAAGCGAAGTTATTTTTCGAGAAACCCTAGTTTGCGTTTCTCAAGAGTTTCATCTATTCTATACTATACCAAAACCTTTATATCATATATACCCACGCTGCACTTTGTAAACAGAGTGGGTTTAACATTTTGTTAAACGAGAGATCACTTCCTACACATCATATGTACAGTTCACTCCTCTCTTAATTTAACAATATCATTGAAAACATCAAATTCACGTAATCCAAAACACATAGTTCCACATAATCTGTCAGAGTTTCGAAGATCAAGGAAAATGATCGAAGTTTCGATTGAAGAAAAATGAGGAGTCCTTAGTGATCTGAGAACTCCTCATTTACAAGAGTCCGTGCAAGAGGTTTCGATGATTATAGTCAGGAGACCAGAAAATACTAGAGTTAATTGAGTTAGGACAAAATTGTAAGCTGATTCGTTTATAATAACTAGGCTTGAATTTATTTTTATTTTCATCTCATAAGAGGTTTTCTCCGTCATCAATTTAATTGGTTTTATTTACTTTTCTGCAATTTATTAACTGTGGTAATTTAACATATGATTGTTGAGCATGTGAATTCATCTTAATTAATTAATAACTGTGACTTATTGCTTTCATTAATTGTTAAATTCAAATTCCACTTAAAACACCAATTCACCCATCTCTATGTGTTAGTTGGGTCGAACGTCATAATTTAAGAGATATGTGTAAACAACATTCATTATTGATTATAGTGAAATACTCCTCTACTTGTGATTTTTTCCATCTTAAATTTTTATGTAAAATTTTGGTGTTCTTGTGTGATTGATTTATTTATTGCATCTTTGCAAGTTCTTGCTTTATTCACAACACAAATTGTATCATAGAAGTTCCACTATTTTATTTGTCAAAAAGGAATAATTATATTTGGCATTTGGGACTTTTCTTTCTGAAAATTTATATTCTAAATTCCATGTTTTTCAAAATTTAAATAGTTAGATGAATAAGTAAATTAATTAATAACAAAAAATATAACTATAATGCTAAATAAAAACATTACAAAATTTACCAGCCTTTAATCTTGTAAAACCATAGGATCGCTTTCCAGGGTGAGCATGAACATACGAATAATGATACATGTAAATAATCGAGTACATACTGATATATAGATTGATGGCATAATATTTTATTAAAATTTAACTAGATTTTTTTCAGTAATCCTATTCAAAACTTATAGTGTTGAGCACCAATCTGGTGACAACTGCACGGCATTAAATCATATATTCATTTAAATGCAAAGTTACATGAATAATTTAATTGAACCAATCAAGTGTGATCACACCTAGATTGGTGCTAAATACCATTATTCTTTAAATTTTGCTATTTATATATCAAAATGGTATATAAACAATTACCGAAATTGTTGTGGAGAGACAAGATCCGATGAAAAAGTTAATTATTTTTTAAACTCACAAATAGTAAAGTGTCATATTGTATTATGAAATCCCTTATATAATTCTTGATGTACATGTAGCAATATTCTTGTTCTTTTCATTTCTTAATTTTTTTCTCACTCACTCTCTCTCTCTCTCTCTCACTCTCTCTCTCTCTCTCTTTCATAAATAGTTATGCACAATTAGCATTACTTCGAATATACAACCTCACCCTCGCCCCAACCCCCCTCGCCACCCTCTACCCCACTTTTCATGCCAATGACGACATAATTCACCCGAGATAACTAAAAATCCACGTCTGTTTCCCACTTCTTGAATCCAAACAATCTTCTGTTTTCCTCCCTATAAATAATCACCTGAACCCGCTTTGCCTCCTCAATATATCCACCACCACCACCATCGTCTCCCCCACCATTTTGTTTCCTTTCAATTTTGCACGAATAATTAACAACCAAATTCACAACTCTTCACATTAAGAAAGATTTATCCAATTAACCAATATATAATTCCATATATATACTTCTAAAAATGACAACTATGGGGGCCTCACCACCATCACCTGCTCAGCGCTCTCCATGGCACTCTCCGGTGCCATACCTCTTCGGGGGATTGGCAGCCATGTTGGGACTCATTGCTTTTGCGCTCTTGATCCTGGCTTGCTCATACTGGAAGTTCTCTAGCTATGGTGGTGATGATGAGAGGGACCTCGAGTCCGGTGAGGGTAATGACCGCGAAGGCTGTGAGACTGAGGCCGTTAAACCACAGCCAGTGCTTGAAGAGAAGTATCTTGTTATCATGGCCGGCCAAGAGAGGCCCACTCACTTGGCCACTCCTATGTCCAGTAGAGCATCATCTTTTGGTAACAAAAGCAATTGCAGCAGCAGCAGCGACACCACTCTGACATCAGAGGAGGATAGTGAAGAGAAGCAGCAGCAAATTAGTGGTGGACAGGTAGAAATGGGGAACATGGAGGCCCATCAGGCACCAGATCAATTCAATTGACGCCTTTCATCTCCTTTTAAAATTTTGGTTTTAGGGTTCTTGGGCATGGTGCTTTTGATTAATCATTTATGGATAATTCTAAGGATTTTGCAAATAGATCTGGATGGTCTTCAGCAGCTTTGAGTTATTTTCCTTTTTTTTCCGGAAATGTAAATAATTTTTTGGAGAATCTAAGTGTAAGATAAAGCTTTTCTTGCATATTGATGCTTGTTTGGCCTTTTCTTCTTACCATTATCATAGTTCTATGAAACTTTTGCTTTTCCTGCTTGCTTTCACTAATTTCGAGTATTTTCAATTTAAAATGAAAACAAAAATAAAATCACAAACTTGAAATGATATAACAAAATTACGGTGCAAACAATTTAATCAGTTGATAGGAGTGGAGCTAAAGAGTAATTAAAAAATTACTTTTACACATGAATAATATTAGAATTATGTGGCCCTGGCCATAAAGCGGATGTCATAATATTATATTTCTATTTGGTAGTGATCAATATCTAGATCTTAATCTAAGACTCGATTATCATATTATAAGTTCATAACCCTAGCCCATTCTCATTTTGATCGGAACAGATCTACTAATTCTTTGATTCCAGTTAGTAAGAGGGATCTTGAACTAAGAAATAGACCCTAGAAGCTAAAAAATGGTATCCTAAGCAATTGCAACAATCGGGTTTATTGATATTCTAGGTATAGTAGATGCTAAAATTCACTCAATTTTAACTATATATTTCATGGGATTTATAATTTTTCAGTTACACATTTCATTAGCTTTTATCAAAATTTGCTAAAAATTTGATTTTATTCTCCGCATGTTTGCGATAGATTAAAATTTATTAAAAATTTAAAATCAAAGTTAATAATTAATTTTAATTATATATTTTATAAAATTCATAACTTTTCAATCAAACAATATATTAAAATTTACTAAAAATTTAATTATTATCTACAACAGTGGATTAATAGTAAGAAACGTTTGAGGTAACTTATTTGCTGAAGTTAGAAGCCGTGGGAGAGCTCAGAAATGGGAGTAATAAATGAAGAAAACACTTGGACTTACACGTGTTCATCAAACTGCATCTCCCAAGTATTTTATCTATCTACATTAAATTTCAGTGCAGTGGTAGTTGGTCACATGACATTTGGACTGACACGTGTACGTTCACAAAGGTAACTGACTGAATCAGTCAAATTAACATCTTACATAGTTTTCACACTTACCATTCTCCACAAAAAATTTACATGACGTGTGTTCTTGTCATTTACTTAAATTACAATCAAGATCCTAACTTAAATGAAAGTTCATTGATACTTACTACTAGTTAAGATTCAGTTTTAATGGCAAATACACATGACGAATGTTTCTCTTTTAAGATAGTTGAGAAATCTAATGAACCTGTTTAAGTATGAATGTAAGTGAGTTAAACATGATCATCGAAACTTAATACAATATATGTAAAGAAAATGTGTTGATTTGGTGTAGATGAAACTCATTAGGAAAGCAATATTGCTCTTTCTTAGTAGGGAAAGGCAAATTTCTAATTTTTGAGTTGGTCTAGAGCAAAGGAAAGTGAACTATTAAATAGGGAATAAATTTGTTATATAAATTACAAATTCAATAAGTGCAAATCATGTTTTTTTTTTTTTTTTTTTTTTATAGAAGCTTGAGTAGTACACAATTTTCATATGTTCACATTCTCGAAAGCTAAGCGCAAGATTAAAAGTTTAAGTTCTCAGATATTTGGACAAATTTATTTATTTAACTTGTATAGTCAAACAAAGAGAAGTTGGATTTATTTTTCATTAAATATCTGCTATGTTTACAATTTTGATAAATGAATAATTACGTCATGTGAGGTTTTTAACTAAAGATAAATCTGAATTACACATAAAGAAAGGTGACAAAAATTAAATTAAATAAATATATCTCATCTTCGACAACATGGATAGACAAGATAGACAATTTATGATATCCTCGGCCATATGAACCATGGGTTTCAACTTTCGTTGGTTTGGATTTTAGTGTATTACACAACAGCATGCATTGTCGTGCTGAATGGGAGCATTATACTTCGGGTTCAATCATTATGAGGAAGATTATATGCAAGTATTTCAATGGTGGAGTGGAAAGGGGTTGGCCTAATTAAAATTTTACCAATTGATAATGATTTGCTGACGTCTTGAAGTATCTATTGCTAAATGGATATCCCTATGGTTCATTCTCCAATGATGCTTTATGATTTTGCCAAGAATTAAACGTACGACCGTGAATTTTTTATAATATTATTCCACTTCCAATCCATTTCAAGAATTAATGATAGTGGTAATATTTTGTAGTTTTAAGGGCAAAATTTCTTATTTCTCTTTTCGTACGATTAATCTCTAGGTGATTATATTCATATCATATATTTCTTAAATAAACATATCAAATTTTACTTGCATTAAAGGTCATAATTTTTATTCATTAATGTTGGGTAAAATTGTTGTCAAACTACTTCTCGGACAATGATGTAACTCGGTATAACTTTATCAATCGACATTGAACAAATGACTGAACTAAAGGTTGACCTGAAATGAAACGAGTTGATCCTAAAAACCATTTGAGCCATTAGAAGCAGCCTAATTTAAGTTAGTGCTACTTATGGCCCATTTTCTGCTTCTTGGATGGCTTATAAGTGTCGACCTTCTTAGTGATATTCCCTAATCCACTTATTTACTCATATTGGTCTTGGCCCATTACAGTACCTTAATTGCCTCTTATATATGTTGCCTCCTCCTTGCTTTGTGTGACTATGTGTTATTTTGCTTCTCTCTTTGAGTGAAAATGATTGCCTTCTCTATGATTTGTGCCTCCTGCTTTCTTCCTTTCCTTCTACCTATGTGACTGCAAAACACACATTTCACCTTGTACCCTTTCTGGGAAAGACTCAATCAACCAAAGTAAGGAGTGGTTGAAAGGTTTTGGGTTGGTCTCTTGAGGTGTTGATTCGATTGGATAATTATTATGTCCGAAAAACACTTTTGTGTGATCTCGTCTTTTGCTACAATCAGGTATCATAGCGATTTGTAGGAGATTTTCGGGCCAAAAACCGATTAAAGTCGTTGAGATTGAGAAATTTTAAAAGTGGGTTGAACTTACAATCTTTATTTTTGGCCAAACCAAGAGCTTTTGGTGAAATGGAGATCGAAAACATGCTGTGCAGGTGGAGGCACCATTGGGTGTGTGGCATGTGATTGCGGTAGTGATCGATGACAGTGATGCATGGATCTCCGACGACGGGCGTGGATGGTGCGTAGATGCATTTCTGTAGTTGCTCTTTTCAGATAGATTGTTTATTTTATTAGACTGAATGTTTTGATATTGATACTTTCTTATTAAGTCACACGATGGATTTTGGACGATTTTACCCTGGCTTGCGATTACTGGTCAATAGAGTCGGTATATTTGTTGAAATTTTATGGCAAATAGTGGTGGCCCTAAAGCAATAGATTCACATCTCTCGATATTTACAGACCTTTGGACATGGTTCACTCTGGTAAATTGGCTTATTCCATTTAAATTTCAGCATTAATGCATTATCGTGTGAGGTGATAATAGAATCGGGGTTACCGTGTGGGGGTAACCATTGCTTGTGCTGGAAATTAGGAACTACTTGCTTTTAATTGTTACGTGGTTTAATTATTCATTTGATAAAATCAGCTTATTATCTTTGTGATATACTGTGTGTGAAACTATTTTGTTGGCATACTATTTTTGTTGCATCGTTATTTTCATTAGAATACCTAGACGTTACCTATTTGACCATTCTCTGGATCTAAGATCGAGAATCTCATGAAACCCTAGGAATCTGAAACGACGTATATTATCCAAGACTATAGGACTATTTTGTGTGGCTTAATTGTGATTATGTACCTTTTTTGATTGATTCATAAAAAGCAACTACTCGCAATTTTGATTTAAAAATCTTGAACGAAAAAGGTGATTTTTTAATATGGTAACAAAAAATGAGAGGTATTTTGGTTCAACAAAAGTTTTAAAGGTCATTGAAGTCAATTTTTCTGCTGAGTTTTCAAAAGAACAGAAGAAAAAAGTCAACGAACTTGCTTAAATTTCAATAATTTTACACTTATCTGATATTATTTTGAGAAAGTCATAAAGTAAAACTACTAAGGAATTTTGGAAAAAATTGGAGGATTGTATTTGCTCAAATCTACTCTGAACAAACTTTATTTGAACATTTTTTTCAGTTTTAAAGTGGATCCTTCAAAGGATCTTGATGACAATTTCGATATTTTTAAAAACTTGTTCAAGATATTGTTGACTGTGATGAGTCAGTGTCTGAGACCTACAAATTTATAATTTTGATTAATTCCATACCTGACACCTGTAAAGAAGTTAATAATGTGATTAAGCATTGTAAGGATATTTTAAAGCCTAAAATTGTCATTGACTCACGCAGAAGTGAGGATATGAAAATTAGAGCTGAAAAACATGATAAGAAAAGTGGTATGATTCACATGATACAGGGTAGAACTCAATTTAGTCAAAATAATCATAATGGATACTAAAGTAGTGGTAAGTCAAGTAATAATGGAGGTAAGAAGAAAGAGAATGGTAGGTCTAGATCAAAATCTAGGACAAAGGTTGGGAAATACCATAGCTATGGAAACAAGGGATATTTTATAAAAGATTGCTATAAAGAGGAAGGTAAGCAAAAGCTTAAAGAGAGAGATGAATTAAATGTGTTGTATTCTACTTCCAATGTTAGTAATGGTAAAGTTTATATGATTACAAGTCCTATTGCTTATACTGTTGAATTGAATCTAACTACTAGTTCCCATTTACATGAGCGGATACTTGATTCTGGTGCATTTTTTCATGTGACATTTGAAAGGATTGGTTTGAAAGCTTGCATGAATTTAATGATGGGCATGTTATGCCATGTGACAATTTTGTTTATACTGTTGCTGGAATTAGTAATATTATTTTGAATTATTTAAAAGATGTTAGATACATTCCTGAATTATCTAGGAATTTAATTTTAGTAGGGAGACTTAAGAAAACTGAATTTTCTGTAAAGCTGAAAATGGATTTTTGAAAATGATTAAGGGTACACTTTTCCGCTAAGAGAACTAGAAAAATGATATTTACATCACTATTGGATAAGTGATAAGAGGTTTAGATTCATCTATCTCTTCTGCGAAGGCTAATCACATAAATAAATGGCACAATACACTTGCA